ATAAAACTTCTGGAAAAAAGGGTTAATGGAAGGCACTGAAGTGGTTTAAGTGGTAAAACCATATTCTCCTTAAGCCCAGGGAAGACAAACTGATAGGTGAGAAGTAATCCCTAACATGTGATTCGTTATTCGTTAGGTTTACATAGTACACTTAGAGCTACACAGAAGTTTCCAACTCTGTGCCTGACATCATTTTGCTGCAAGGGGGCTCTAGGAATTGCTGTTTTCTCCATGGCACTAGCAAAAAGGACACTACTTATATGGCAAACTACACTGGAATGCTTCCTAGCTCTCACCGAAAAGCAGTTACTTGTTAGCCATTCCTAACTTCAAACTCTGGAAAGCATGGATTTGAATTTATCATATAAACTGAGTAGGGGCTCAATACCATGGGTGAAATTACTTAGCCTACTATTTTGGGAGGTATCAGGTGGCAGTCTCTGGAAATCTCTCCACAGTGACCTCCAAAGCAGAGTCTTGGAATCTTATTTCTGAATGTGCACAAGAGCCCTTATAAATGACTTAGAGCATCATTTTAAATGTGTGACTTAAGCATAGGATTCAAGAGTAATGACGGTGGGTACAGAAGAGGTCCACAGAGATGCACACTTGTATCACAGGTGTAGACAGGTTAGTATTCTGAGTACATGGAGTAGGTAATTTTTAGTATTTGCAGTAAATTTGGTCTCAGTGGATGGAATGGTGGATGAGCTAAATTTAAATTCTCTATTGCTGAACAAAGATTTATTGTGTTCCTTGAATATGTATACCCAATCTATCTAGCATCTTACAAGGAATATTATAGCTGTTGCCTAGTAACAGTGGTCAAACTAACCTTACAATGGAATTCAAAATAGAAAGAAAGTACTTTTTATTTTTAAGATTTTAAGTAATCTCTACACCCAATGTGCGGCTCAAATTCGCAACCCAGAGATCGAGAGTCACATGTTCCAGCAACTGAGCCAGCCTGATGCCCCCATACCAAAACCTTTGAAAATAATTCTGAGAGATAACCACTCAAAGCAGCAAGGTTCTTGCAGTGGGAATCCTGACTCTCCCTAAAATAAAAACAGATCTTACATGCTAGAAAGCACATGACTCAGCTCCAAGAGGAAGTATTTAAATTTTAGGGAAAAAAAGCACATTATGTAATACCTGAAAATGAAAATTTAAGAATTTTTCCCTATGATAAATCTGTAATTAAATCTTATTTAACTGTTTCCTCTAATGACATCCATTTTAATTAGGTTTTAATGGACTGGCAGCCACAACCTATAGTTTTATGAAGCAAAGTAAAATTACAGTCTAGGAAGACATTTAAGGAAAGAAACCTATCAACACAGATGAGAGGTTACAATATATCCCCTCATCCCTAAAGACCCCCGTGGTAATTAAGTGTGCTGAACAGACAGCCATTAGGGCTAACAGTAGGTGTGCTCACCACCAATCAGCACTGGGTTATTCTTTGAAATCTAAGGGTTATTGCTGTGATCTGCTTTCTAGAATATTTGCATGTCATAGAATAAAAGAATGCAACTGAAGAGATGTGGGTTCTATACCTCTACCAAATATGCAGCTTCTATCACTATTTCTGTCTTAAGATTTTAATGTATACATTTCCTTACAGCTGATCATGATACATCATTCACTGAGAAGACTGTTGTATGTTTCAGAAAATGATCATAGAGAAAAAGTAAAATTAATGTACAAAAAAAAAGATTCACGTATAAGAATAATGTATCTGCAAATGAGATGCACTGAACAGGATCTTAATAGTGTGCATCCGTATCTATTTCATACTGCATTATGAAAATCAGGGAATAAATCACGAAAATTAACTCAGACCAAATGAATACCACAGGCACTTATTTTAGTAAAGAAGAACTGAGTACAATCAATCCTTCTGTTAGACAGAGGATGGGGAAAAGAATCCGGCTTGTTGCTACTTTGAAGTAGTTTGTTTACAACTTATTTATTTGAAAGAGACAAAATTATATGAATATTATTTTTAAAATTAATTTTGAAACATCAACACATTTTAATAAATCATATATACTCAGTAAGTTGAAAATATGGTGGAGGGGAATATATGATCCTATCAAAAAGTAAAATTCTGTAACCAGGCCGACAATCTGATGTCTCCAAATCCCTCTGCCAAAAAACAGAGTTACTTGGCTAAGATACTCTTACTTGTACACTTTCATCAGATTAAGACTTTCATGCCAGGAATCCTTTTTTTTTTTCCTGGTGCATTGGCCATTGCCAGAAATGGACCCAACGAATTCACCAGTGCTAAGGAGTTAAGCATCTGAGATTTAATTTAACAGTTTCAGCTTTATTAAGCTGTCACAGAGCGGCCCCACTTTGATAACAGTAGCTGCTCCAATTATGGCTTGGTTTAGGGTTGACAAGTATAATGATTCATTCGTGGCACATGAGAAGCAATAAAAGGTTGTTTTGCATTACAGCTTTAAAAATGTGGGCACTTTTTTCATTTAATTTGTCACTTAGCTTTTGCTAAGAGGACATTTAAATTGCAGTAAAAGGCAAATGGGGCTTTTAGTTTAAATGTAATCCCCATATTTAAATGATCTGTAATGGTGCAGTGTTGGAGTGGGAACACTATTGTCTCACAGTGGGTCCTGATGGTGACATGTGACATTTGTATTCAGGTCCTGTATTATCCATGTGGCTAAAGGGCTTCCAATTTCATTTCACAGCCAGAAGCCTGCAGAAAACACCAATTAACTTGCAGATCCCATTTGCCGACAAAACTCAGCCTCTTCTCAATGTCTGGCATCTGGCAGTGCTCAGCATTTAATTCCAAAGCAGAGCCTTGAAGCAATGTGAGCCCTGTGCAGGGGCACAAAGTCAAATTCTCTCATTTTATTAAGAAGTAAAATCCTTTCCTTTTGTAGTCCAGGAGCAACTTTTAGTTAATTTTTTGGTGAATGAATATTAAGATATAATAGTTATTGTTACTTCTACATGAGATTCTTTACAAAACTTAGACCACCATTAAAATGGCCAGTGACCTCTGCTTGCCATCAGGGTACATGAGAATTTATAGCATTCTAATAATGATGCGGGGGGGGGGGGGTTGATTTGTGAAGAAAGAAAATACAGGGCAAGAAGATATATTCTTCGTCCTAGACTAAAATCAAAGAACTTGTATAATATAAAGACTGGCCTATAATGAGAAAGCAGTTCATTAGACAGTGTAACTAGAATCAGCTGGTGGAAACACCCTCCTAATGAGAATTTATACTTTTGATTGAGGGGTGAGGCACATAATTTTCAAAACCAACTTGGAAAAGTGAGATGGGCTAATAGATTAAATATGAACACTGTGAGTTTTACTTAACTATATCCCTTGAAGTTTTTTGGTAGACAAAAAAATTAGTCTGCACTTTCTTCCTAATTAGTTATTTGTAATTCTAAGTTCTTCCAAGTACCAAAGTGCTTTAAATTTTATTCATTTAATATTGTTCCAATATTTTTTCCTTAAATTTTAAATTTATTTCCTTAAATAAATTCCTTAATAATTTGCCTCATTATGGTTTTGTTCAATGCCAGACCTTTCAAATGTCATAAATCAACCAGTCAATTCAACATTTACTACAGAATTACGAAACTGAGGAGGGTGTACCTAGAAAAGTGTCGTCACTCAGTATTCTATAAAAATATGTTTAAACCACGCGTCACACTTGTGTATTCCAAACACCACCCTGTGCTCCCACTCTCCCAATATAGTAGAAACCATCTACTATAGTTATGGACTGATTTACATTTTGATGTGAGTAAAACCCACTAACCATTACTTCAGGTAACCAGTGAAAGTACCAAAATTAAGTTATAGCAAGATACTTTAATAAAAACATCAAGAGAAAAAAGTCAACAAATGTCTAACAGTTGGATAGTAGCAGACATATATGTTACAAAAAAAGAGAAAAAAAAAGAATGGTCCTCTACAGCAAGTTTCTGAACACATATCCTATTAGTGGCAAAGGAGGAAACTCTCATGTCCAAGTTTTTACCAATTTGCAGCATAACCCTAGATTGGTCAATGTCCTCTTCTGGAAATCTCCTAAATTTCCCCAGAGTTCCGTTTCCTTATGGATAAAACAGCTCACCTCAAAGGTCCCTTCCAATCATGTGGTATATGCACAAACAACAATTTCTCTTTGTCTAGGCTTGACATGGGATCAATCCACAGGATATGGTCTCTCATCAGCCAAAAAGGGAAAGAAAAGTCAAGGGATAAAGAGTTCTTCTACCATTCAAAGAAACTAGGATCTTCTAGCAAACATACCCAGAACATAAAATTAATATAGGCATTGATATTGTCAAAAATTCCATCTGTCACATTCTTAAGAGAAAGACAATGTAACAAATGCGTTGTTAATTCCCTAGCAATAATCACTGAGTAAAAATAATCATCCCTCCAAATTTCTCAGTGAGCCTGACTAGCCGATTTCTCATTTTTTCAATCACCTGCTATATTTCTATCTTTATTACAGAGATTTAGGAAGAAATAAAAATTATAGTTGACTTTATCTTTTAAATGCTATCAACAGTTCATCTAAGTCTCTAACAGCCAAGACATGAATGCTCAAACTACTTTTGAAACTTTTAATGTACTCAAAGGGGGAAAATAGCCAAATTTTAGCTAAACTGATTACAGTATTATTCTAGAAATAACCAGCTTTATTATACGAAATACCTATTTTAAAATAATGACTTATTTTTTCCAAATATTTAAAGGCAGATTCCTGTGCTTGCTTTCGTCAAGATCCAACAACTTTCCCCAAACTCTCCCAAGATTATTTCTTGCAAATGCCAGCCCAAGCCCTCCTTCTTCTAACCAGTGTCTAGTGGCAATAAGTTCACAGAGGAGCAGATCTCCCTTCAGTAACACTCTAACCATGCACTTTCAACATTCAACCATGATTTTATCCATACATAACTCAATGGCGATCCATCAGGAAACTTATATTTACCCAGCTCATCCCAGAGCTGCCTGTATTTATCAGTCATTGCAGTGCCTTGTTGCCTCCAAAGTGACAGACGAGGGTCAGCCATGAATTGCTCCGTTATCAATGTCAACATGCGGGCCCCATTAGAATCCCTCATCTTCAACATCTCCCGCACCTGTTGGGGAAAAAACAGACCTTTAGAAAAGTACTCAAAAATACACAGCAATATGGCAACAGACCACTTTATTTCTTTCTCTGGGGTCTGAGGCAGTTAATTTTTGATACCAGACCTCTTTGGCATACAAAAGTTGTTAAAAACTGGTTTCTATCCTAAATGGCAATTTAATCAGAAATGACTGTTGGTTTTTTAAAATCATGTTTCATAATCCAAATGAGGAAAAGAAATTTGGTTAACTTCCCAATTGCAATGAAAGTTTTCTGCTAACCCACAGAAAAATAATACCAGAATAAACAAGACAAATCATTTGGTACCTTCCTGACCCTTCCAACTGATTGTACTTACCATTAAAGTAGAAGAGCTGAAAGCAGTCTATTGATAACTCTTGAGGGATCTTCTAAATTGACTGGATAATGTTTATAATAATAGCATCTGTCTTTCTGTTTTTAAAAAACTGCTTTGTTGAGACCTAATTCACAAACCATACATTTCAACAATTTAAACTGTGCAATGCAATGTTTTTCAATCTATTTCTAGAATTGTGAAGTCCTTTAGTTTTTGAGGTAAATTAGAATTTCAGTAAGTTCTCACACCAAAGTTTTCTGAGAAGAAAAGCAATGCCATATTTTTATATTCACCCCAATGGGGCTGTAAGAGGAAATGGGCTGTGCTGTAGGTTAAAGAACTCCCTGGCCCTAACTGAGCGATCAGTACAGGAAGCAGAATTATAACCTGTGACCTAGTGAGCTAACTCAGTCTCTCAAGCTGGAACTTCAAGCTCTGTCCATTACTCTGGAGCCAAATCCCAACCCCCCTAAAATAAAATAAAATAAAATAAAATAAAATAAAATAAAATAAAATAAAATAAAATAAAATAAAATAAAATAAATAAAATAAATAAAATAAATAAAATAAAATCACAAGACTAAGTGTCTCTATAGGAAACCCTAAATAAATCCATCCATTCCAAAAGTGAGTACTGCTATGTGTTCAACAAACATGAATCCCAGCTGAACACTACCAGTTCTCCCTATAGGAAATTACTGGAGCAAGGTCATAAGCAGCAGAAAAGGAAAGAGGGTCCTTTTACTCAAGATTCTATGTGAAAGGCAAATGAACGAGGAAATGGCAGATATTCAATAAAGTAGCCCAAACCTCAAGATCTATTGATCCTGTGTCAGGTCTGCGCCCTGACAAGTAATGGAAGCCCGTGACAGGCTTCAAATGGGAGCCCTGTAAGGAACTCAAAAGCATTTCTACACTGAATCACAAGTGTTGTGCTTCCAGGATTATTTCAGTAATAATCTTAAAAAGCTTTTTTATTCCAATATGGAAGCTCTGAAAAATCATGAACAGAAGAAGACTGGGAGGAAGAAAGGGAGTTACTATTTATTAGACATCACGCTAAAGAGTTTACATTTATACTGATTATGTAATATTCACAACAACCATAGGCCGGATTAAAATCCCTATTTCATGACTTATAAAAACCATGTTTCAAAGAAGTACAGTAACTTGCCCAAAGGACAAGAGGAATCGCTGGAATCAGAGCCCAGATCTGTCTTAACTCTAAAAGGTATTCCCAAAAAAAAAAAAAAAAAAAAGTTATGCCATTTCCAAAATTAGATGATGCTGTTACTTCATATGGCATACATAATGTGCATATTGTATACAGGGATAAAAATAGCAGCTATAGGCCAGTCTAATACCTTTTTACTTTGCTTCCACTAGACCAAAGTGTACTATCTGCTAACAAGAGAATCTCTGAAATACTTTCTGTGTATCTAAATATACTAAACCTCTAATATTACCACCATATCATGGATAGGATTTAATGTTCATCTTCCTGACAGATTTCTAACCTATTACTCAGCAACAGCAATGAAAATAAACACTTTACTGTTAAGCATATAAACCACAACTATTAAGCAACACACAAGTACATCTATAGTTTAATGGTAATTAATTTTCAGACAGCTGACTCTGATACAAGAGTCTGATGTACCTGTGAATTACCAAAAATGAGTAAATGATGTGTGAAGTAGTTTTAGGGTTAAATGTATTATATTATAATCTTAATTCTCAGAAAATGGGCAATCTATATACAGAAAATGGGATAAATCTTTAGTAAGAGGATACTGATTAATCAGAATACACTCTTTTCTGGCCATAACCAGTAACGGAATATACTCTAATTCTTCAGAACTAAAAAAAAAATATATATATATATATATATATATATATATATATATACACACACACACATATATATATTAGTTAATATATTAGTTATTATAAATATTAGAAAAGCTGTATAACAAAAGTGTCAATGAGTTATCAAAAGTATCAATCAATAATTTCTTTCATTAAAACCAACTTGAATACACTAGCCATAATAGTAGCTGTAACCCCCTGTAAAAGACACTGATTTAATATTTATTAAAAGAGCATTTTACCCAGTATTTAGAATTGGGTTTATGGTACCAAAAGTTCTGTATAAAGCAACAGATAAAAAAAATTAAAATAAATAAATAAATAAATAAATAAATAAATAAATAAATAAAGCAAGCAACGGATACAGCTTCTACTTACACAGAACTTACAATGAAGATAACTGTTTCTTTCTTCCATCATCACATTTTGGTGATAAAAATTAACATTTACCAAGGCCAAAATGACGTTCAGACACCATTTATCATTTAATCACAACTTGAGGAGATATGTTATCATTAGCTAATTTTACAGATGAGGAAACGGACTTAAATAACTTGCCACAGTTCATACATTCTATAAGATTTAGAACTAAAAAATAAAGCCAGGTCTGTATGACTCCAAAGTCCATGCTTTTGAAACAAATTTAAATATACTAAGCATCATTAAACTAAATATATAATGTTATATATGCACGTATTAACTATTCAAAAATAACTATTCAAAAATAATAATCAACTATTCAAAAATACAGATTATGGATTGGTACGAGAGATATTTCTCAACCTCAAAAGAAAAAACCCTTAAATATATAATAAAGCACATTTGAAGGACTATTTTCAAAGTTACGCTCTACTTGAGAACATTAACTAGAAAAAGTAAGAACTTGAAAAGATGGCATTTTTAATAATATTAAGCTATTTACTTTTGAGTTTTGAAAGGTTTTCAAAACTGTATAAAGTGTCACCATTTATTAACAGGAATGGAGAGAAACAAAAATGTTTCACATCTTGACTAAGGACACCTAAGTAAATTAATGCATTACAACATAATAGTTTCTAATTGGTTGATTAACTTAGATGCTCTTCTTTTTAAAAAATAAGAAATAAAAAAAGAAGCCTTTATTCTATTGTACACATAATCATATATAGATACTTTCTATATATGTATATATTTAGAATATTTCTTTAAAAAAAATCATACCTTTGCAAAGAGCAAATTAAGCTGCTTCCCTGATCCGTGGTACCCGCCCTGGGAAAGGAACAGTTTAACCTGTTCTTGAACCTGCTCTTCATCTAAGTGCCAGCAGTTTTCATCATCTATACTAGCACCTGCTGTTGGATCAGGAGCACCTAGAAATAGAAAGAAAAAATAACACATATGCTAGATAAAAACTCTGTGCTAAAGGGCTCTGATAATAAACTTGAAAAGAATTAAGATTCTGCACTTTTTGCCTACACACTTTTTAAGCCAATCTCAATTTCAATTATACATACAAATTTATGACTGAAAATAAATATAAAAATCATTCTCTTATTTTCAAGACTTTCTTGATTTTGTGCTAAGCTAAAATGCAGATTACTGTAGAACTAAGATATTTTCTTTTTTAAAGATCAGAAACTAAACCTTTGGAGATGAGTTTACAAGTTCTCTAAAGAATAAAAAAGTCACAAAAATGTCTCCTTGTAAATACATGATGTTTATAAAGCTCTACTGTGTAGGATATGTTAGGAAAATGTTTTTCAAAGACATGAGAAAAATGTGAAACCAAGTAAAGTGAGCAGAGTATTTTTCTCTTTACTATGTTAATTCAAGAAGCTTTCACTGCTATATGCTGCTGAATAAACTACAGGCTGACATAGTCTTTAGTTGCAGAAAACTGAAGATTAAAAAGGGAAATCAAGCCACATGGGAACAGGCAGCGCAGCTGTTGTACTAAACCAGGTTGTAGTATCACCTTGCCAAACGGTGTAAATATTTTATTGCTGAAGTACACACAAAAGATAACAGCTATGTCATAAGCCCTGTGTGTAAACTATCTTAGAAATTCAAAAATTATCCAGATACTTTGGCAGGTAAAAATTAAGTTTCATTATTTTTAAGAAATGGTATTTAAGGAACATAAAAAAATTTAAATCTAAGAATTTCATCAATAGTGTTTTATCTCATCAACCCTTAAAAAACACACTTATAAGTCTAAGTTTTACATTCCTTTTCTTTTCTTCTAATGATCTAATAAAGCAGAATGAATTGACCAAGGAAATAGCTAATATCTGCTTAGAACCAGGGTCCATTAGTCCCTAAAAGGAAAGCAATGAGTCCGTGAATCTCCCTGAAAAGGTGAGCATTTATTCATTCATCCACTGAGTCAACATATTTAATTGAGTGCCCTCTGCTAAAATTGGGAAGGAAATGGTGTACAAAATAGAAAGAATTCCTGTCCTCATATAATTTACCATCAAATTATTTTTGACTATGACCAACAATAACAAATGCAATTTACACTAAGCCCAATATATCTATGTATCTGGGTGTTCATGTGATTGACATATATCTATCTTTATCTGAAGCAAAAGTATAATGAAAAAAGACCCTTACTATAAGTGAAAGGGTCTGATATTCTCTGTTATATTTTTTTAAAAGGCATATCATAATTTTAAAACTGATTTCATAACTCATAATGGATTATAGTCCACTATATGAGAAACACTATTTTAAGTGTATGAGATAAATATCAATCTAGTAATCACACATATATAAATATATGACGATAATTGCTCAAAGGAAGAAGCCAAAATGCCAGCAGAGTTTAGGGTAAGCACACCTTGAGGAAATGGAAATTGAGCTGAGATTTGCCTTAGTAGACTAGAAATTAAAGAAAAAAGGAAAAGGAAGAAATGGGTCTGGATCTGAGACTAAGAACTTAGGCAGAAGTCTCAGGCAGGAAGGAACACAGAACATGAATGAAATAAAAGACAGTCCATGTCCATACAACTCAGAAGTAGAGGATGAGGAGAAGACAAGTATAAGACAATCCTGGAGAAGAAGGGCTAGACCTTGAGAGCCTGGACAAGTGAGGAGCTTAGTTTTTTTTCTTCTGTAAGCATAATAAATGGGAATCACAACAAAGTCATCATCAGAAGAATGAAATACTCTAGATCGTAAAAGATATTTTGTCCTAATGTGCATCAATTACAACATTCCTACAATGGAATATATTCAGCCATAAAAACAAATTTGGAGATTCTCTTTGTACTACAATGGAAAAATCTCCAAGATATATTGTGTTTTTTTAAAAAATATATTTAATTTATTTATTCATGAGAGAAACAGAGAGAGAGGCAGAGACACAGGCAGAGGGAGAAGAAGGCTCCCCACAGGGAGCCTGATGCAGGACAGGATCCCTAGACCCAGGAACTCTAAGCCAAAGGCAAACACCAAAGGCAGATGCTCAAGCACGGAGCCACCCAAGCATCGCCCAAGATATACTGCTGAATGGAAAAAAAAAAAAAAAAAAAAAAAAAACAGGCTAAAGAAAAGGATACAAATATACCCCCTTTTATGTAAATAATGAAGTTTTAGAAAGAGCCTATGTATTAGTATTTCCTTACATATGCATGGAATGGGTAACCTCAGTACATGAGGGAAGAAGGCTCTTCACTAAACACCTTTTCATAATTTTTAAAATTTCAGAACCACACGAATATATTTAAATACCAAAAAAAAAAATCTCAAGTGTAGAGGATGGACTGGGAAGCAAAAATACATAACAGTGAGGATGACACATGCATGGTCTGTACAAAAGATGATGATGGCAGCTTGAAAACATCACTGAGAACAGAAATGGAGAATCTGACAGGAATTTGAGACATAAAAGCAATACGACTTGGCAATGAAGTGTGTATGTGAAATCTGGAAGATCAAGGGGTTGAGAGATGGATGAGTTTTGGGGTTAAATAACTGGATGAGATACTGGACAACTCAGTAACACACAGATCAGAGGACAATCAGGTTAGAGGATAGGAGGGGTAGTGTTTAAGTCCTGACTTCAGTTTCAGACACGGTAAATTTAATGTATCTTTGAGACAGCCAAAAAGAGGAGAAAGGTTTCCAAGTAGGGAACTGGATATTCACAGGAGGCTCTACAGGGCATTTAAGTTAGAGCCCTAAGGAAAGCCAACATTTAAAGACTAGGAAAGAAAATGAGTGAGGATGGCAATGGGAATGAGTGACCTGTTAGGAAGAGCTGGAGAGACTGGTTCTTCCAGAAGTAAGGCAGAAATAGTCATTCCAAATAGGTATTAGGTAAGTAGGTATTAAAGCTCCAGAGAGCAAGGATTATAGCTGCCCTGCTCACCCCCACTTCCTGACACCTAACTAGTTTTTGCCTCTATCAGGAATGGAAGTAGGGGGAAGGAGGGAGGAGAAAGATCCTCCCCTGAGAAAAGGATTCCTACCAAAAAAGAACAAGTGCTAAAGCATCTTCACATACATTTATCTCATTTTCTCCTCACCACGATCCTAGCGGTGAGTAAACATTATGATCCCTATTTTACAGAAAGAGAAACAGGTTCAGGGTGATTATGACTTGTCCACAGCTACAATGCCAAATCCATCTTCTGGTTCTCTCCCCTGCTGAAGAATACACCCCAGAACCTTGAAGCTAAAATTGAGCCAAGAAGGTATCAAAGCAGGCATTATCAGGCTTAAATCAAACAGAAATATAAGGATACTGGGATGTTTGTGAGCATTTGTTAGCACATTTCTCTTTCACAGGAAGACCTAAGGACACACAGTGCTATTAAGAGTCAACTATTAGGGCTACATCTGTATCCCACAGGGACCGGGAGCCTGTAATACAGCCCATCCCCATGGTTCTAGAGACAGACACACACATACAAATGCACAAAGACAATCTAAATACATCAGAAGAGACTTTCCAAACAACTCATCTATATGCTCTCAACTTTCATATTTAAGCTGTTCCCAGTATCTTGCTAAAATCCTTCTGGGAAATCTGACACATGCTTCTTTAACCTCCTCATAGGGAAAATTCTGACAAGCTACTGATGATCCACACTCACTGTTCCTTCTAATAACCTGAGCTAAATAAATTCAATTTCTATCCTCACAGTGGTTATTTCCCTCAATTCTCTACTGGGGACTGAGGGCCAAGACCTACAAGGAATCCTGCCCCCAAAGGACTTGGATGGGGACTGACTGTCCTATGTTGTAGTACAAGGCATGCTACCCTTCCTCCTTCACTGCTTGGGTCACAACCATCTGAGACTTGACTTTTCTGTTTGGCACATAAATATGCAAGTATTTTAAGTAGATTTCAATTCGGTTTAGAGAAAATTCCACTCTCCTCGGCCTAAAATGGCAAAGGGGTCAACATTGATATATTTTAAAAACTTCAGAATATCCTCTTACTTTTGTTAATACTAAAAAAGAAAGATGTTAGAAAGAATAATCCTGGAATCACTTTTAATTGGCTTGAAATATACAATGCATTTTTTCCTTAAAATCCAATAGGTTTGAAAACACTATCCCATTTTTGTTTAAATATGATAACTTTTTAATTTTCTTTAATGGATCATTTAATTTACAGACATACAGATTTTTGTTCTTGCCTAGTTGTAGGAAGGTATTATAGCAAATGTATAAATACATGAATAATGTTTCTCAAGTTAAGAAAACCAAGGGTTTTATGTTTTGGGGGCAGGAGGAGTATGGTAAGCTAGTGTCAGAATTAATGTATTTCTTAAAGAGTATGGGGGGAACGAAGAGACACTGCAGAGGGAAAATGGCCCATAGATAAAATTTTACTGCAAATCATTCAATAAAGTCTACACATGAGCTGAGAGGATATGTGGGGTTCCTAATTCTGGATTAGAATTCGCAAGATTTCAATTCTAGGCACAGATGGGAAAACTACACGTCATCCAGCAAATCACTTAAGCTCCTCAGACCTCCATTTCCTCAAACCCAAAATTCTATAACGTAGTAATAAAAGATTAACTAGGTGATAAGAATTAGAAATCTTCCCATGGGAGTGTGTAGAAAACATCCTCACTTAGTTTAACTATTTAAATCTTAATATGTCTTGATTATATGCATGTAAGTGCTGTCTAAGCCTTGTATAAAATGTAGATTTGCAAAATTTATTTCCACTTATTAGTGGTTATCTATAAACAAAGACAAACATTCACATTTAGCTTTGAGAGAGGTATGCAAAGAAAAACATTATTCATGTGTTTATACATCTGGTAGTAGATATTCCCCCAAGTTGGGCAGGAACTAGAATCTATGTATGTAAATTAAATGGTCCATTAAAGTGTTTTAAAACCTA